TGTGTGTGTGTGTGTGTGTGTGTGTGTGTGTGTGTGTGTGTGTGTGTGTGTGTGTGTGTGTGTGTGTGTGTGTGTGTGTGTATGTGCTTTTCCTTCGTTCGAAAAACAACGTTCAAGCTTTCCCCTTCGACCTTTTGGACAATTTGCTTCGATGGCTTCGCTTCATCACTAAACAACTACTGCGACGAGGTTAACAACGGTTAAAATATCAGAGCAACAATAGCCGACTATCGTTGAAATAATCTACTATTGTCAGTGTGAGACTTTAAGATTCGTGGGATCGCGGGATCGAGATTTTACAGTATCCGGGCCAGATATTTCCGGGAAATAACCCGGTGCTTCGTACTTGGCGGGAATTTTGAACAGTGATCTCAATTGTGATTTCGGATGATAGTAGCGTTCACGATTTTCAGAAAGGAATTTTTGCGAGTTAATGATTTTGAGGAAATTTTTTTTTCTTCTTTTTTTTTTACCTTACGACGTCACTCGTTGAAATTACGACAATTTGGAAGTAAATTCCTTTTGGAGAAAGACGGTGTTTGTGACGAGCATTTCTGGCGGCTTGAAAGTCGAAACCTTTTGCCATTTTAATTGTCGATGTCTGAGATTGCAAAGTTATTGATTGAAATTTAAAAAACTCGAGAGCTGAAACTTTGCTCATTTTAACAGTAGAACTTCGTCAGAGCAATGAAAATAACCAGTTTGTAACTTTTCGTAGAGGTTCTACAGATTTGCAATATTTTGAGTTTTTCGAGTTTCGTATAATTTTTGCAGAAAATATACAAATAAAAGTTGTGTTCCTACCCTGTTCCTTGCAGTTTAATTTCTTTGATGCAAGTTTTTTATACTTCTCTCTGATTGCGACAGCTTTTGCTTGAAATTTTCAAGATAAATTGCTTTTAGAACAAAAATAATCCCTACAGGGATAGAATTTTTACCAGCTCAAAAATTATAATACTTAAGATTCTGCTATTCTTTTAATGTCACTCTCTGACTTATCGTTTACAAATTTTAGTGATCGTAACAATTACACTGAAAATATTTCGTGTCGCCAAAAATCTATCTCAGACCCTAACCGCTACTTTAACCTAAAAGGAGCGTATTTTCAAAATTTCAATCAAATTTGAAGCACATCATTGACTGATTTCACGACATTGAAGCACAGTCGCCAGAGAAACCCTTCTGAAATCCTGAACCGGCTATACTTCAACCAATTTTCAAAATTTTCGAAAGCCGAATTCGAAGCACGCGCTTTTCTTTCCTGAAAATTTCGCCCAACTCCGGGCAAATACATAACTGCTTCCGACACACTTAATGCATAGCTTACGGATGTTAACGCGTAAATAAGTAACTGGCTCTATTATAGAAAATGTGTGCGTTCTTCCCTATCGTTTTAGTGCAATGTAAACTTCATACGAGTCTCGTTCGTTTCCCTCTAAGGGATAAAATCCCTAACATCGACGACGACGACGCGTAACCATTCTCCCCCCTCCCCCTTCCTCGTTCGTTCTAAACATGCGTTCGGCGTTCACTGGACGATTTTTTCAATCAGGTAGCAAATAACGTTTACTTGTCTTCGTGACACTACTTGTGTTCCGTGGTCGGTTCTCGTTCAATCAGCAACCACACGTTTTCATTCGTTTATCCTGATAAAAGTGTAAATTTTTCTCCCGTCGTTTCCTCGTTTTTGCCCCGTTGAAATTATTCCGCGTGTGCGTTGGTCGACGTTGAAATTGTAATTATACACACACATATATATATATATATATTTTTTTTTTCCCCTTTAAGTTAATTTCGTTAATTTCATTTTTACAGTTTATGCCGTGTGGTTCACAAGTGGTTTACCGATTGAGGAGGAACCGCGGAGCTTATCGATATACGACGACTCGATAAAACGTCTTCCACGCTAACAACGCTTTCTAATGGCAGTATTTACGGAACCAATATACTTCTTGTCCTACGAATGTATGTATTTACAATCCAACGTGACGTTAAGGCATCGTTACCTTGGATGCGTTAAAATTATTATTATTCTCAGCTATGAGTATATGCCTAAGAAACGTCGGAGAATCAGAGATTCTCGTCGAGCCGACGAATTGCAAGTTGCTCGGATAGGGCCTACGGGTTATACTGGATGCGTATTTGGATAACTCGAGAATTTAGAGTCGGTATACGTCGAGATACGTTCATTTTGAATGAAATAATTCTGCAGCAATTGTGTTCGTACTGTACGGACAGCATATACTTTCTGGTTCTTTTCCTTTTCTTCTTGTTTCTCTAATATTATTAATTACAATTTTTGAAACTGTTCGAACGATGTGTAAGAAACTTTATATCAATTTGACTGATAATTGTCATTTCTTGGTTTATTAAGAATTTTTTTTAACGAATGAAAGAGAAACGAAATTTTTACTGCAGGAGAAGAGAACACAACGTAAAACACCAGAATATTAAGAAGTAAATTCTGAAAACTTTTTGCATATCCTGCGTAACGAATTTAAAAGAAATACTTGACGAGAAATCGAAATGATACTGATATTTTATTTTAATTTACTGTAGGTATTAATTTTATTACAATATATTATATATATGATAATAATTATTATATGAAACGTAACAAACAAATACGTAATAAGTATAATAATTATCTAAATTATTACAAATGATATATATTATCATTATAATATATATAAATATATATATATATATATAATATATTATTATAATAAAATTATACGACACCATAATCGCGCCGCTGATTATCACCTACCAGTATCAATCACAGAGAATGTAATTTCAGTCGTGGAGTTGTAGGAAAAGTCAAGCTGTTGCAATTTGGACTTGTACATACAGCCAAATACAAATCAATATCCTTGTATCGTAACCGCTTCCATTTAATTTGAAGCGTTTGATTAATTCGTCCACACACACACTGTGCACCCAGTACAACCCTAAGAGCCTAAAGTTTCTTCCTTCAATCCTGAAAAAAGTGTTACAGTTCGTGAATTTTACGAAACTAGAAACGAACGATTGCAATTCGTTGAGCATTGTAATTCGCGAAGGAATCGCAGATTCTTCGACGTTAGGTTACAATTCTCGCGAATATCAGTCCGCTCGCACGAGGCGTAACTAACAATCACTTAACCGCGATAGTACATGTTTATACATAGCGCGTAATTAATCTAAATGAAAAAGAATGAAGAAGAAGAAGAAGAAGAAGAAGAAGAAGAAGAAGAAGTGGAAACAAACGAATACGAAAAGATAGGAAAAGAAACGAAGACAACTCACAGTGACATCAACCACGTACTACAGCATTGAACAACGACATGAACGGTTGTTCAATCAGCTACATCTATCAGCTTTAGAATTCGTATGCTTTACTTGTTCTTACAGAACTATTGGTTATTATTATCGTAATGTTTCGCGGGTTTTCGACTCTCTTGTTACAAAATACAGTATTTTTTTTTTTTCTTTTTTTCTTCACAGAGGCGAAGTGTAACACGTGTGCAGCGAAATGTCCCTCGAGATAAGGTGCGTCCAATTTCAAGGAAGAGCTGTCTGACAATGAGTTATAGAGTTGACATTAATTGATGAGTTGATCAATTTAATCAGTGATCAATTTAATGTTGTTAGTTTGTGATACAGATCAGTTTATGAATGTGTTACGTAACGCGTTAACTATTAACTAATCAAAAAAAAAAAAATAAATAAATAAATAAATAAATAAAAATACAGTAGAGATTATCCTATATCCGAACTAACAGAGAGATAAAAGTGTTTGGTTAATGGAATTTTTGTATGGTCACACGATGATCATTTTTATGACATTACATTGTTTACTTGATCAAATTATTGACTTTTATAGTGTCAAATTATTTATTTGGTGCCTACGTAATATTTTTAATATTTATTTCTTTAATATTCCCTTATTCCAATATTTCCTTCACATTTTTCAATACTTCTTCAATATTCTTCAATATTGTTTAAGAATGTTATATTGAAATTTAAGTTTAAGAATGTTATATTGAATACCTAAACGTCTTAGCGTAAGAAAACACATTCTTTTTGTGCTTCAAACCATTTTTTGTTTCAGTAAGTGAAGACTTATTCTCATCATTTTAATTTGCTATTTCAGTTTTTGAAAAAATTATGTCCACATCTTTACACTGATTGTATTTAAATTAAGAAAATTATTTTCATTTTGATATTTAGGAATTATATTCTGTTTTGGCTGTTGAATTATCTGATTTTTTTAGCACAAGTAAGTAAGTACATTTTTTTTGTACTTCAAGCAATCTTTACCAAATTTGTCGAATGTTTTAACACGAGAGGACACATCCTTATCATTTTCATTGGTTTGTATAAAAATTACAGGTATCCTTCTCACTAACGAACGAAATATTGATTCAATATATCGTAGAATCAAAATATAATAAATTGCATATTTTTGTTTCTTTCGTAAAATCTTGTGTTATTTTAATTCGTTTCTTCTTGTATTTATATAAAACACGTCAAATAATATATAAATAAAGTTTAATATATAAAACTATTGTTATATAATATATAAAATAGTTTAATAAAAACGAGATATCCATCACTAGATATTCAGATAGTAAAAATGTTCGAATATTAGAATGGGAGTTCGAATATGGGATATTCTACTGCACTTATTATCATTTCATGTTAAATTAGTTAAATATTAATCTACGAGATACTCAAATAAGAGAGAATCATTAATTGAACATTCCTATCATTTTATGTAACTAGTGATTCAATTTTGTAAATATTTGCTGTATTTCAAAACGGTTAATATTATTTGTTTCCACAGAAATTTTAAAAGAAAATATATACCCCCTCGCTGTTAATTTCGTATTCGTTAGACAAATTTACTTATGCACATATTCAAATACAAACAAATTTTGAGAAACTCGCTGATCACTGAAAATTGACTTAAAAAAATACGTTCTTTTTAAAAAGATTTAATCAATTGCCTGCTACATATAATATATCAAATATATTGAAACATTAAATTGAACAACATATAGATAAAACCTGTACAACAGATAAAACTACCAGCTTCTCATTTTAAATTGCTTTTTTTTTTTGAAATCGCTCGTACAAATGTAAAAAGCTCCGAAATCTCTCGTTACCAACTGAACGATAAATTTGAAACGCGAAATGTTCTCTACTTCCACGAACAAGATCCCAACGACAACAATCCCAAGTGACATTTGGATGCACGTACACGCAAAACTCATTGCTCTCCTCACCCTCTGTTGTTTCCCTTATAGATACACTCGTACAAACGGGGTACGGTTTCCTAAATAGTTTAAAAACTAATCGGTTACACGTTAACTTTTACACGCTAAATTCGTGTCGTACAACGAGCTACCTACGATCGTGATACCTAGAATAATTTCTCTTAACATGTCGGGTAAACGGGATATATAAAACACGCGATCGCACGACAGTTTGTTCTGTGAGTAAAGAATTCTTCATTAACCCCTAATCCGGGACCGATCGTATCCACTGCTAGCAAAAATCGTCTCCGAACGACGATCCTTTTTTTTTTTTTCTTCCGTCGCTTCGTTTCCCTCTCGTTTCGTTTCGATCGTCCGCATCGAGTATCCCAGTTGTGTGTGTTCGATCATAGCCGCCGATCAGAGGGTGTCAGCTAAATTATCATTACAGTTAGTCGTTTAATTAGCTTGTTGTATTTTTTTTTCTTTTTTCTTTTTAAGATAACCCGATTTTTTTAAATAGTGGCAGCTTCATATTACGATTTACTTGAGCAGACTATGTGTAGATATAAGTTCATCCTTCGAAATTCTTCGTCGATCGTTCTCTCGTCTCGCAACGACCAGTGTATAAGTACGTACAACTCGAACGAAGCTAGGAACGAATCAAGATTTTTCAAGAACGTTACGACGTTACGTCGCAGTCGTTCTTTTGCCTAGGCTCGTGACAAACTATATATATATATATATAAAAAGAAAACAGGAAAAGTTTCAAGGAATATTTGCGTTTGCTTCACGGATGGTTCTGATGGATGTTCTTTCCATCGAGTGCGGTGTTTTACGCGTTTGTGGAAAATTTTGAAGGGCAATATATCGCAAAGAATATATTATAATACAGAGTAGGATGTCGATTAACTAATGCAATTGACAAATAAAATTTAAAATTATTACACTTACTCTTTTCTTACTTAGTCATTCAGACATTCACTGTGGGAATAATAAGAATTACTGGCAACGCAATACCGAGGAAAGAATTTTGTAAAAGTGTAACATACGTTAATTTGTTATTAAAATTAAAATTAAATAAATACAAGTTATTATATTATTAATGTTATTGTGTTAGAATATTAAAATAAATTAAGAGAAATTGAGTGAAATATATTATTAAAATTTAAAGTAATATTAATAACATGATATTATTAGTAGGATTCTAGTAAATACAAGTTACTTTATTATTGAAATTAAATATAAGTTAAACCTTAAATTAAATAAATATAAATCATTACATAAAACAACGGGAATTAAAATCGCAAATAATCTTAATTCGATTGATCGAGTTCCTACTATGATATTATATAAAATATGTAAAATATTCAAAGCATAATACTGTGATACGTGAAACAATTTTCTACCGAAGCTCTAACTTGCTAATTACGTTTTCAAAAATATGAATTTGCATAAAAATCCGCAATCTAGGAATAATTTCTTCCAAGCAGAACCGAAAATATTAATATCCCAAGGTATTAACCCTTTTAGTGATTTGAAATTGAAAGAAAAGTGATAAAAATTTAATTTAAATTAATAACTGCAATATTGAATATAAATAAATAGCAACTTCAGGATGCTCAGCGAAGAATCGTCATTTTTCAAGCATAGTGACTCAACTCCATAAATTAAAGTACAAAGAGAAATGACAATTACAAGCATCATTTTCAAAAAATTTATCTTCAAATTCGCAATTATTTAACGAACAAATCCTTTATCTTTATACTTGATATTGAATATTGAACTGACTAACGAAATTGAAAACTTCACATACAAAATGGAGTTGATCAATCCAATTTTCGAATCTAATTTCATATATATCTTTTCTCATGTGTTCAATTACATTTGACATATCGTTTGAATTTTCGATTTTTCACTTCATGTATCATTGCCAGCAACTAAGAACGACAATTTTCCATCGCTAAAAGGGATAACATCTACTCGTCTCTCCAAAATAACCCATGCCTCGTTTACCACTTTTCCTAATTAGTATGTTATTGCAGGAGCAACGTCAGACGATGCCAAAAAAGGAAAGAGGGAAAAGAGAAACAAAAGAGATAAACCTCGTAGTACTTCCTTGAACTTTCTCTCGTCGTTCCTCTTCTTTGTCCTCTGCATTGGTGAAACTCTCGGTGCATGTCGTATACTTAGCAATTGCTTGCCGAATAGAGAATGGAGCCCTTTTACCGTAATTTCGTTATTGAACAATAGCGGAAGCTGGAAGTTCCCCCAAGACTAGGGTGAGATTCCGGGTTGGTAGTAAATAACATCCGGTTGTGTTGGTCCTTAGTCTTTGTCTACGGTGCAGGGCTCGGGCATGGACTATTGCGGCGGACAGTTCACCACCGTGGTGGTTGCGAATTCGCTGAATTTTTTGTCAATTGGTACCCGGTCGTCGTAGAGGGTCGGTGCCTGCAAGATGATCCCAGCCGTGCCTACCAGCACCGCGAGAGTGAAGATCCAAAGAAACAGTCTGTCTAACACCATCGCCACGTATTTCCAGTCTTCTTTCACCTTTTTACAAATCATTAGCACATTAGATCCTATGGTGGTATCGTATTATTAACGTGTATGTTATGATAACTGAATTTTCGTTTCAGCAAATGACGTAACGCTTGACGACGAGTCTGAAGTGTAAATCCAGTGTAAGTGTAGGAAGTAATGTTTCTTTCGAAAGTTTAAATTCCCTTTAAAATTCATCACGTAGCCAGTAACACGAGAATTTGTTTTTCATTAGTAAATTGTATGACTAATACACAAAAGAAAATTTGTTTCTTTGAAAATTATATTATCATCAATGGAGGTATAATGATTTTTTGTAAGTAATTTTCTGGCCCTGTTTCTTTCTGTTTCAAAATTTATCATTCACATTAGATCCTACATTGAATTGTACGAGTAACAGTTTTATTGATAAATTGTACGTTTAAAATGAAGTATAATGATGTTTCTTTTGAAAATTATACCTCCGGTGGAAGTATAAAAAATTATTTTTCTTCCTTCCTAAATCTATATTTGTAATATTGTTTGTAATAATTATAATATTTATAATATTGTTTCAATCAATTATATTTGAAAGATCGAAAATTATAATTATAATGTTCTTACTTTTCAGGAATATGGCGAAGTTAATTTCGTTCAGAAAACAAAGAGTGCTTCAACTTTTGCACGAGTGTGTATATGTAGAAGTAAACTTCGATCTACAATTGGAGAAGTCGGATCTCTTTGAATTCGAGTCACAGAAGTAAAACATGACTGAAAAATTCAAGTCAACGAAAGTTTATAATAAAGTTTTATAGAAAGGAAATGCAGAAAATTTTCGTCTTGCAGAAGTTGGAATTATCAAAGTTCCACTGTAGTACAATATTTATGTACGACGAAGGTATTTTTTTACTTTTCATATTTTTCACAAAATGATAATATTAATACATGGTAGTGTAATTTATAAAAGATATAAAAGCTAATGTGTAATAACTTATAGCATATTACGTTATAGTATATCTTTTTGCTTTTCCTAATTTTATCAGAGAAAACAATATAAAAAACAACGTTCACGTTAACAGCGTCATTTCCGATATGTATACAACAAACTGAAAATATTATTAGCTTTCCACGTGAATAATCACTTTAGACGATACTATTATAGAATGAAGTATAATAGAATACATTTGAATATATCGCAAATTCTATTCAAAATCCTTCATTTTCATAATAATGCTAATATTCATTATGTGTATTAAAGCTCAAGGTATGAAATATTAAAATATAGCATTAGGTCATTCCACAAGCATTCCTTCATACTAAATAAAAAGAAAAGGAGATTACTCACTGACCCTGCTACGATCCTTAAATTTCTATATTTCGATCTTACTCTCATTTCAGGAAATAAAATGAATTTATAATATGTTTCGAGAAGACGTTTAATGTAAAACTTAGATTCAAAAAATCATATACGCTAGTGGGAACATTTTTATCACTTTAGCTTGCTTAAAGTCGATACGTTCTTTTATATTAGTTAGCTAGAAAATGGAAAAAAAAAAACGCAGCAGGGTCCTTTTAGCTATTATTATAAACCCCGATAATAAAAATTTTCATTCAATTTTGACATGTTTGTAGGTTAGCAATTGTATTTACCACTTGTTATATTCGCCTATATTATACACGTAAAAGTGTATGGTGAATAACAATTATCTTTAACATTCTCTGATTCAAACATTCAAGGTTTAGTTATTATCAATGTTTTGTATTATCAATCGTAAACTAGTGTGATTCAGATTAATAACAAAAACTGAAATAAATCGTTTCAATCATTATGACACGTATCTTTACCAAAGGCCACTGCAATTCAGCAAACAATTTCTAATAAGAACACTTGCTACAGAAAATGAAGAAATTCTTGAGGAATCGCTGTAAACTCAAAGAAAATGAATCTTTCATACTTCAGTCTTTATATTTATTACCCCATGGTGCCACTCTATATAAGTATATAAATTCAATTCTCGGAAAGATCATTCGTTACTCGCGAAATAACGATCGAAAAATATAAGATATAAAGTATCGAAGGATAATATGAAAGCAATGCGGAAACATCACAGCAGGAAGGAAACAAATTCTTGGAAAAGTTCACGTTGCTTGATAAAATTACCTTAGTCGAGTCCTCGAGCATTTTAGTGTGCTCCGCGATGAAACGCACACAGATGCAGGACTTGTGAATTTCTGGGGGGCAGCGCGAATGCGAGAACGCTGGCGGACTTCGTAGCACCGGACTTTTAACCTCTTCGATCCCTGCCTCGCCAGAGACAGAGAGATCTTCGCATTCTGTGTGAAGAGGAAGCGGTGGTAACGGTGGTCCATGGATTAGGCAACTTCCACCGAACCTTGCACCGTCAGCGAGACTAAATTACGAACAAGACAATGCAGCCTGATTACAAAGTTTTCTTGTACCGTAATATCCGGTCTGTATAAATTACTTGCTTTATGCTTTCGTAGTTTGAAATTCTCTCCTCTAACTTCGCGATATTGTGTTTGTGTGTTTTCGTTTCTTTTTAGGAATTATTATTCGTGCTTATTAATCGATTGCTTCGTAAAGCTGAGGTTCCTGCTTTATGTTTTAGTACAACGAGGATTTGAAAGTGAATATCAAATTTGAGTTTTTGTTTGTAATTATTATTATTCGTAATGCACATTCTAAAGCCGTTTTATGCTCAAAGTTGTTTCAAGGTGTTTTTCGAGTTTGACATAATAATTAATTTTAAAAAAGGAGTAACTTTTATGATTAGTAACGTAATTTAATTTTAATGTACAGGGGCGGTGAAATTGATGTTCTGAAGTTCCAAAATGACAATTGAATTAAATGTATTTTCTTATTTTTAATTAATTTCAATAAATTAACAATACTTCCCCATTTTCGATTAATTAGTTTTAGTAAAAATCATTTCTTAGTAATTGAAATTCGCAACGTTTCCTCAAATTTACGATACACAATTTAAAATATTTAAATTTCATGTATTAAAGTCGTGTATTAAATTATTGAAAGTTCTTAACGTAATCTGATTCTACTACTATCTTCATGCTTTTTCAGATTATCAATGTCCAATCCAATTAATTTAATACCTCGTATGAGTTACGAAATTTTCTTTCTAACGCTCTAATTCCGTTTGAACTAGAATTTGATGTGAAGTCTTGTAATCTTATTAGTCAAGTCTCATGATACTATTTCGGTATAATACATCATGTAAGTTAATTACTTCGTTAATTACTTTTTAAACAATTTCTAATGTATCATCATGTCAAATATTCGGTTAATTACACTCGAAAGGAGATTTACACTGGACGAATGTTAATTACAATCTTTTTCCAGAGCAGGTTAAGTTCCTGTTCATAAAAGTACGAACACTTTCGAATGTGTGAATACATATGTAGGTTAGCCGCTCTTCAAAACTTTAATCGCATGAGAAACTGAAATTGCACGTAAGGAAAAATATTTTTCGAAGAAGAGAAGAAGTCATTATTATATAATATGATGGAAATAATTTAAGGAAAGTGAGTGGTTATTAAGTTATTAAATGTTTCATATGGTAAATTTTGAAAGCAATTTTCTCTTTAAGTGTTTAATATTAAATTTGAAAAATTTAAAAATTTACAAATAAATGTTCAATTTAAAAAATATTTTTCTTTACGTGCACTTCAGTTAAAAATCTGTTCATCTTTAAACACATACCTTCTGATATGTTTATTCAATATATTGCAAAATGTCATTATCTTTGAACCTCTAATGAACAAGCTAATTATTTTCAGTATTACATACTATAATTTCTAGTACGAATTAAATACTCAAAGGATTTTAATTAATACTTTTGAGAATATAATTTGAAAAATAGAGAACTGTTTTACGTATCAAGTATTATATAGAGTTCATACTGAATGAAAATACCTGGAAGGTGAAAGGTCTTCTTTCGATGCGGCGCGACTGTGAAATCGTTTAGGTGTTAGATGTTCTTCGCTATCCTCCTGGGTAGATGGATGATAAGGATAATAACAGGTCTTTTCCTTCCCTCTGACTGTTCTCATTAATACTCTGCCAGAGCTATATCTGTGAACACAGTGTATATTTTGATGTCGATAACAAGTAAGTGAGAAAATTTATTATATCAGAAGAGTCTTATATTATATCTACAAACATTAAAATTTCTCAAATAATAGACAATAAAAGAAAAATGAACAATTGCTGAACCAGACATTGAAATGAATATTAAAACAGAGAAGATAAAGGATTATTGTTTTAATCAATTTCTTTTTTGCACGATACATAGATATTTGAAAAATATATTTTATATTTATTTATTAATATTGCATGTAATGTTTATTAATATTTCTTTGTAGAAACATTTCTTTCATTATTTGTAAGAATGCCAATGATAAGTCATGACGTTCTTATGTTAATTAGAATAGAGTAACAATCATTCGAAAAATCAACGAGTATATAGTGAACGTTTACCTATTTGTTTCGAATTTATACTGAGGCCTTCGCATAACCAGCAAGCGAGGAAGAATATGGATGAAAACCCTCTTCACCCAAGGCGCCATTTTGTGAGTTTGTGGCGATCGAAAGTGAACATTTAGCACAACCACTGTCACGCATATACTGAAAAAAACAAAAAGAATTGACTTAGTCAATTGTTCAACCATGAGTATATAATAACTTATAAATAAAATCGTTTAACTATTAAGAGACTAAGTTTTAGTAGAGAGACTAAATTTTATCATCAATACTTGAACGGTATCCGTAGAGTGGATGACTATAATATTTTGTATTATGTTGCAAAAATTTAATCTTATTTTGTATTTTATATTTTCTCTGATAGTAGTAAAATTAAATCACATCATATATTTCTCATATTTTATAAATCTTTGTCTGTCATGTACATTCTATGTATTTTCTCCCCATAAATGCATAAAAACCCATAATCTATCGATGAGATAAAATCTGTTTTCATTTTTTGATTAATCTAATGGAAATTAAAGCCTCGATTGATTGTAAACGAACAAGAATTATAAACCTCATTATAAAACCCAGAGATTAAGAGTAGGGAAACTAAATTTCATCACATTTATTCGTTTTCTTAAAATAACAAATTTTTAAAACCAGCTTGACCTGGTTGGGTAGTTGAACGTAAATTGATTGTGAAAGCCAGGCTAATCGAAATCTATTTTTGCAGTCAGGAATTTTTCAAGATACTTTCTCCTCCGATAGGTTTGAGGCGAACGTAGCAGGTAAATGTGGATTTTATGCAGCGAAGAAACGGATTTATATCGATTACAGGTTTTACTTTATGAATCGAGAGCGTTCGCGGGGGAGAAAATTGATTTAAACGAATCGAAATAAATTGCGCGATATTTTGTTTTGTTTTTTTTTTTTCTACTTTTTACCACGTTGAGATACATTTGCGAAATAACTCGCACGTGTGCAGCAACGCTTTTCATTTTTAAAATAATTCGCACGTGTGCTTAAAATAATTCATACGTGTAATCGTTTATTTCGATGTTTTACAATTTCTGACCGATAGACCGATAATTTTTGTATTTATAGGAAATTTGAAGGTGAAAATATTCACAGAATGCGGAGTATAACAACGAGAAATGTATAAAATATGTATACAAGGCAAACTACATATTATAATATATTTAATGTCCATTGTACCTTATTTAATATTATTAAAGTGGGTTTAAAATTAACGACCGGAAAATGTGAAAGATGTTAGTATTATTTATTTATATTTAGAAAATACATTAGAAATATTAGGCAGCAATTAGATAGAAATTAGGTAGATACTAGGAAATACAAGGAAAGATAGAAAATTTTCAGAAAAGTTATTTTAAATGTTCATCTCGTACACTAAAAGTAGTTAAAGAAAGTTTTAAAAATTTAATCTAAATTACTTTTTCTAGTTTCTTAAAGTTATATTTAAATTATATTATAAATTATTCTTTACATATCATATTATATTATATTACATCATTTGATTACTAAAATTACTAAAATTTCAGATATTTTATTTCATAATTATCGCGACGAAAATGGATAATGAAATATAACGAAATAAAATCAAATCATTTCCAAACGAAATAATGATAGATATAAATGACAGCATTAACGCTAGAACTACCAAAATGGTCAAAATGACCATTTGAATATTTTTGTTAAATATTTTATAGATATGAAACATTATGTTTTCGGAGACTTGAACGATCCTTCATAAAATACATGAGTAAAAGTTTGTATATCCTGCAGTATTATAAAGATTTTCTGTTTCATTCATTTTAACGTCTCTGATGGAAATTTTATGCGTCGATCGTCGCATATAATTCTTCAGTAAGTGTTAAGAACGAGGAGTGTAATATAATTCTTCGTATTTCTTAGTCATTTGTGCTTGCAGTGACGCGGAGACCGCCGTCTAATTTTTCCAATTAACGCTCGTAAAAAATATGAATTTGCATAAACGTCCGTAGGTCCATCGGGTAAGTCTTCGCGAGGCGGAGTAAGGCAAATTGCCATAACGTATAACGTGGCTGCGGTGGAACGACAGAATGTAAATCTCACGAGGCCATTCATAATGGAGATCCATTCAACGATGGCTGGCCTTAGCAGCCGGTACTATAAGGGACAAACTGCGATTTAAATTGGACCAGCCTCCTTTGACTCGACTTGGAACCATTTATCGGCTCACTCTTCCCGCGTTTACCTTCAAATACGCCTACTACACCTTCTTCCACCCCTTTTGTGTTTGTCCTTTGTCTTCTTCCTTCTGGAAATCGTATTAGCCGGCCGGAAGTGAATTAAAACCGTCCCTGTTTCGCATACGGGCAAACTCGATTCCCGTAAAATTACGAGAGAGAAATTTCCCTCATGTCACGTCAATGTTCATCTCGTTGTTAAATTGAACCGGGAGCTACAACTCTACCGGTTTGATATATTTATTACTTTACGTAGTGGCGGAAATATAGTGACGCAGAGACGGAAGGTGTGAATTATTTTCTTTGAAATTTACGTAACGAAGTAAAAATTATGAAATTGGTTTCCGGTAGTAATTTAATATACAGTTGCTCGCGAAGGTGTCGGAATTTGTTTTGGAGATACATTTCTGTGAATACATTATGTGCGTGTTATGTGAAACATTTTGAAATTTTGATAACAAGTAGGATTACGGGTCAAATTTGAAACAAATCTAAAAATAAAAGATTATTTCGTATAAGTTACATTTTGTAAGTATTCAGTTTTCAAACAAGCAATCACTTACTGTACAGTATAATATTAATAAGTCTTAATATTTAGTGGTTTTATTTTTAATAAAATACACAATATTTTCACGAATTCACGAACTTTTGAGACACATTCTTGACAGATATTCTACAATTATAAAAATGTCAATATCGATAAATTATTATTACTTTAACGTCGGTGATGCAGACTTCTTGCTAAATATCTGCATCCTTCATGCGAAAGTCTTTACTGTCGTAACATCTCAATTATAAACGAACAGGAAACTTTATATCCTTTTAAAAATTCTCTGCAATAATCTATTTATATTGAGAAACGTGTTTTCATCTTTCAGCTGAAATACCTTGAACATCAAGCTACTGCTTGCAAACCTTTTCATCAACGTTTTGAAGATTTTGTTATTAAAGAAATAAATTAAAAAGATACTAAAATTAATGGAAATTTTTTTTACTTTACGAATATTTTCATATTATTATTTCAATAGGTATCTCAATATTATTCATTAATATTTTATTACTATCAATTTTACTTTATTAGAAGATCTATTTTATTTCATTTTACTTCAATATATTTGTTATTTATCAATATTTCAATACTACTATCTTGACACATTGTTCATGGTATAATTAAACTTCGTCTTTTTATACTTTCAAATATTTCGAAACAGTTCAAAATACTTCCAAACATTCAAAAATCAATATCACTCGCTATTTACATTCTACTTATTACTTTATCATTATTATATATTATATATATTAATATCTTATTCGAAAATCCGCTCATAATTTATTTTCGTTAAAAAAAAAAAGAAAAAAAAAACAAAACTATATATTTCACGGAGTGATTTTTCGTTCGCGCGAAATAATAATTCAAAAGAATAGGTCAGCTGTTTTAACACTTGTTCAGGAGAAGCAGACGTAGACAAGAGCATGGAGTGGTCGAGCTTAGGCTTTAATGGCGGCACAATGCCTCTGCTTTTTCTTGGAAAAAGCAATAACGCGGCGCGATTTAATGCACGAGGGAGCCGGCCATCCCCTTGAAATTCAACGGGGAAAAGGGATCGGTTTCTTGGTTGGCCTCCGCCTTCGCGTAGAAACGAGCCCCGGGTCGATGCTGCTACTGATTAATGCGTCACACCTACCGCATCTTTACGTTCTTCGAATCTATTGAAAGAGCTGGTATCGCTGCTAGTAGTGTAGACTACTATCGCTCGAATATATATTCATCGTTCACGTTGACACTACGATAGGCCACTCTAACTTTGTCAATGGTCCCTTCCTCCTTACAGTGTTTCCACATTTCGTCATTATTTTAACACGTTCGAGGTAATCGCGGGGATGTATAATTCCGGGGATAGGTCAACGTCTGACGAAGCTTGAATTTAACTTTTTAACGTAATTTTAATTTTTTTAACGTAAATTTTAATTTTTTAATGTAAATAAATATTCGCACTGTTATCGTTCGAAGAGTTCAGAAGCCCTTTCATTTTTTCTTAATTAATCGTGCAAACATGTTTTCATTGTCAATATTGACAATCAATGAAACAGTTTAGTTGTGATACATATTTTAATGAGTTTTTTATTACGTTGCAATGATCAAACTCATCCATCAATTGAAGATTCCGACAATAAAGAAGGATTTGCGTAGCGCAAGTTGTTCCTAATGTAAAGTGACTTAAGTTCATTTATTATTTTGTTTCTGTAATTCGAATTAATGTTTTTTCGTAATACGGTGAAAATATAGTTGATATTGTATTTTTTGAACGAATAGATTGCCAATAGGTAGATAATAGAATATTACACAATAATTTTAAATTAACAGTAATTAGTAATTATAATTTTAAACTGGTTTATAGTAATTAATTCTATTAATATCCTGTTTCAGAACACTCCGTTAATTATATAAGTTTATGCTTTATTTGCGAATAAGGTCATTACACGTAATACGTAATTCAGGTTTAATTGTTCGTTGAACTCGCATCAGTTTATAGTTCAGTTACGTTCACCCTCATATTAAAAAATATACTGTTTGGCAATAAATTTAAAGGCACCAAGCGTGATTTTAAAACACCATGTATATTTAGCTACGAAATATAAAATTGAATTGGATTTAAATTAAATTACGTTTGTTACAAAAATTGAAAGACAAATGACGAAGAATTATACTTGAAATATTTCTTATATTAAAAGTAAATCGTTAATACGTTGAACAAGTTTCGTATATAATAATTCCTCATCAAAATGAGTATTTATTTAAAGACTCTGTCATAATTTATCGCGACAAAATCTAATATAATATATAATAAATATAAAAATAGTGACGCATATCAGAGTATAGTATTTCTTTAACACGCGATACCCGAAACAATTCT